GAACCAATCAAATCTTGCCAGCAGGGACCAAAAGCTATACAGGAAACAAGACTCGTAGCAGAAGCTCCAGCGGGAGGGGCAAGGCTGAGGAGCAGGGCGCCCACGCCCGACAATACTAAATAGACAAGAACTAAGAGCTTTCATTCCTGGGGCCAGGGAGATAGCTCAGTGGAATAAGCACTTGCTTGGCAAGTGAAAGGACCTGAGTTCAATCCCTGGTTCTGCCAAAAAAAAAGCTTTCATTCCTAAATCAGGAACAAGACAAGGATGTCCACTATCACTGCTCCTGTTCAATATAGTTCTGAAAACATTAACCAGAGCCATTAGACAAGAGGAAGAAATGAAAGGAACAAGGATAGGAAAGGAAGAAGTTAAGCTCATTATTTGCAGATGACCTGATACTCTACATAGAAAACCCAAAACACCAGACTTGATAACCAAATTCAGTTATGTGGCTCAATACAAAGTCAGTACTCAGAAATCAATAGTATTCTTGTACCCAACAAACTCTAGAGAGAAATTAGGGAAATCACACACACCCCACAATAGCATCCAAAAAAATGAAGAGGAATCAATCTAATAAAGGAAGTGAAGGATCTACATATTGAAAGTTAGAGTACTCTGAGAAAGGAGATTGAAGAGGATATCAGAAAATGGAAAGATATTCCTTGATCATGGATAGGAAGAACCAACATAATGAAAAGGGACATACTCCCAAAATTGTCATACAGATTTAATGCAATCCCAATCAAAATACCATTAACATACCCCACAGAACTAGAGAAAACATTCCTAAAATTCATCTGGAATCAGAAGACACCTAGAATTGCAAAGGCAATCCCAGGCAACAACAGCAAGGCAGGAAGCAGCACAATCTCTGACTTGAAATTATGATGCAAAGATACTGTGCTACAGTCAGCATGGTACTGGCATATAAATAGACTTGTGGACCAGTGGAATGGATTAGAAGATGTAGACACAACTACAGACGCATTCAGCCACCTTATCTTTGACAAAGGGGCCAAAGATGTTCACTTGAGCAAAGATAGCCTCTTTTGTAAGTGGTGCTGGAAAAACTAGCTTTCCACATGCCAAAGACTAAAACTAGACTTATGTCTATCACCAGGCATTAAACTGAAGTCCAAATGGATCAAAGATCTAAATATTAAAACAGAGACACTGTATCTGCTAGAAGAGAAAGTAAATAGAAACCTTGAAGACATAGGGGTTGGGAGAGACTTCATGAACATCCAAATTGCATGGGAAGCACTTCAAAGAATCAACAACTGTGGTCTCCTCTTATTAAAAAGCTATTGTACATCAAAAGAAATATCAACAGAGTGAAAAAGAAAATCCATAGAGAAAATAGTTAGCTAACTATCCCTCAGATAAAGGATTTATATATAAAACATAAAGAATTGAAAATTGAGCCCTCCAATTTAATGACCCAATCCAAAAATGGGCATCTGAGATGAACACACACTTCTCAGATGAAGAAATATAAATAGGGGCTGGGGAGATAGCTCAGTGGAATAAGCGCTTCCCTGGCAAGTGCAAGGGCTGAGTTCAATCCCCAGTTTCACCACAAAAAAAAAAAAAAGAAAGAAATACAAATAGCAAATAAATATATCAAAAAATGTTACACATCCTTAGTCATTTGAGAGGTACAAATTAAAACAACACTGAGATTCTATCTTATCCCAGGAAGAATGTCTATCATCAAGAAATCGACTAACAACAAATGCTGGAAGGACTGTAGGGGAAAAGGAACCCTTCTTTAGTGTTGGTGGGAATGTAGACTGGTACAACTGCTTTGGAAATCAGTGTGGAGATTCCTAAAAGAACTAGGATTAGAGGTCAGATGTGTGTGGAGGTGCACACCTGTAATCCCGTTACTCTGGAATCTGACACAGGAGGATTATTGCAAATTTGAGGCCAGCCTAGGTTACATAGAGCGTTCAAGGCCACCCTGTACTGGATGGTGAAATCCTATCTGAAAAAAAGAACAAAAAACAAAGCAAAAGTGTGTGTAGAGGTCCCATGTGACCCAGCTATTCCCCTTCTAGGTAGCTTCCCAGAAGCATTAAAAACATACCACAGCAATACATGTGCACCCATGTTTATGGCAGCAAAAATTGTCCTAGCTAAGTCTTGAAAACAGCCCAAATGCCTGTCAACAGAGGAATGGATAAAAAACATGTGGTATTTTTATATGGTGGAGTATTGCTTCCTAAAGAAGAATAAACTTGAGACATTTATAGGGCAGTGGATGCGACTTGAGTCCATACTCACAAGTGAATAAATCAGTCTCACGTGTGTAAACATCATATTGTCTCTCTAGTGTAAGAAGCTGAAAGGGTAAATAAGATACAAAATGTACAATAGATATTGTGAAGTAGGGAGAAACTGTTCAAAAGGAAAGAGAAATTGGATTGGGAGAAAAAAGAAGGAAGGGAAAAGGAAAAATAAATTTTTTTAAAAAACATTTATTTATTTATTTATTATTTAATTTATTTTTTTATCATCAAAACAGCTTTATTTTTGTCACCAATACACATATGATGCTGTGATTTTGTTTGTCTCAAATATTACATAAGTGTCCATTAAAAATATAAGTTTACATTCAACAAATGTCATACATTAAAGTCCTCTGTAAACATCATCTTTTTTCAGTATATCTTCCTACTTTGTTTCATACATAAATAACTTAATCTACAAAACCATAAATAAAATCATCAACTCTTAAGGCCCAGAAATACACACAACATTTGGAGCATGAGGAAAGGGTTTTGATTGTATACATTAACAGGCAGCATTCACTGTGTTTATTATCAGTCAAATGC